TCAGAGCCACCTGTTGCCTTTTGAATACTCAGCCATTTCTACCAAAGGTTTTTATTATGTCCCCCTCCCCTACACACACATACTGAAATGCAGTTGCCTTCCGTGCAATCCCAGCCTTCTTTGGAGCATTTATCCAACTCCTTTGACGCTGGTTATTCTAACTATTTGTGATGGTGGTGCTGAGTGTGGCTGGTATGTTCTGGGACCTGTGTGATATTCTTCGTATGCAAGATCTGTCCTGTGGACTCTGTTGACGCTAAGAATGAAGCCTCAGAGCATTCATTTTCCAGATAAAGTGTAGTGGGGGGGAAGAAGTCACGCAGATTGGGAACCTAGGGCTGTGTGAGTCTCAAGCCAGGGCTGCCTGTATCTGGGTCCCCTATGAAGCACAGAGCCATCTGTTCCCCTCAGCTCTCACTCGTGTTTAAATTTCTAGTGAGTGTGTGTGTGTGTGTGTGTGTAAATGCTGCTTTTTGGTTATTTCATGAGTCGGGAGAAAGCATAAAAGCCTTTGGATATCTGGCTTATTTTTTAATATCGTAAGCATTTTGAATAAATTTCAGAACAAAATGAAACTTTTAATGGGTGTGGAGAGCACGAAGCATCAAAGAGCTGACTGGCACAGCCTGTGACTTCCTGGAGCTTGGTATTCTTAACTGTCAGATTCTAACAAGCGCTTCTCTAGAAAATCACTTAATGATTAATCTGTCAAGAAACAGCCTCCACAGCCATGAAGCACCACACATAAAAATATCCTTTAATCGAAAACTTTGGGAAATTATGCCCTGTGATTTTTAGCAAGGCTGAGTCCCAGTCAGGTGCCTAATTGCTCCCCAGTTTCCCGGGACAAAGCCAGGTAAGGAACAAGGGCACAGAAGGAGAGGGAAGCGAAGAATTAGTCTCACCCTGTGGATTCTCGTTCCTTGTTCCTTTCTAGGCTGAAAAGCTTTTTTAATTCTTTGCAAATCAAAGGAACATAAGCAATGCAAACACTTCTGAAAATTGGTAGACATTGAATGAGCTGAAGTCTAATCGGGTTATCTATTGCACAGCAATGTTTGCAGATGCCATCTGATTGGTAGGAAGGTTTTATAAAGCAATGGTTTACAATCCTAGAACTGTGCTGGGCACACACTGGAGACTGAGAACTTACATGGCTTGAGGAAAGTTAGAGGGACATTGGTAGACAGAACAAGCATGTTGAATCTGTAGATGACCAATCAGTACCCCGTCTCAGACTTACAGTTGTACTTACAGACTCACTGACTCAGCTCTAAAACCAGTACTCCTGGGTGTTTTGTGGTCATGCCTAAGCATGAGGGAAGTGGTGATAGTTGAAGGACCCAACTCAAGTATTCCCAGGTGAGGATGAACGAGGCATCTGCTGCCTTGCTCCATCTCTGTCGCTCAAAGCAAACCTCTTTCTCACAGTTTATTTAATGCCTCACTTTTTAGTTTTTTGTTTGTTTGCTTGGAGTATAAAGGAGTGCCCAAGCTGAGTGTGTAAGTGCTGTAGGGTGTTCTGAAACTCAAGGAAGCTATAAGTGCCCTTGGAGAGAGTATGTGTATTGTGCAAGCTTCATTCAAACCCCTGCTAAAGTGCTGCTGGTGAGAGTTTCGTTGTTCTATTCTGCCCACAGTGGAAGCCATGATGCCCCCACCGGAGGGGAGGTCTGTACTAAGTCTACAGGTTCAAATGTTACTTCTGCCAGAAGTACCCTGGTAGACACTCATAATTATCTAGGAGTCTCTCAGCCCCGTCACACTGTCACATGATCTTAACCGTCACACGCAGTGTCCACAGCAACTTTAAGAACACGACTACAGTACTAGCTGATTCTATCCCATTTAGTTCCTGTACAAGGTGGTGGGTATAATAAATGAATTCTAAAACCTCACATCTTAACACCATAGAAGTTTGGCGTTCTACGTCTAAAGTCTTAGGAAGTCTGTAGCAGGCGACCTTACAGTGGATGAGTTAGAAACCCATCTCCTGAGCCAATCAAAAAGTCCTGGAAGTTGCGTCTGCTTTCTTTCTATTGGCTACATCTCAGTCACGTGGCTATACCTAGCTGCAAAGGAGGATGGGAAATGAACCGTGTGCTGGGGCTTTCATAGATAGCCCTGCTGTAGTTTTTATTAAAATTACTGTTGCTATCACTTTTTCTATAGATAAATAGCAAACCTATTAGGTAAACAACATGTTTATGCCTTTAGTTATTTTCCAAAGAAAGTTTTTCAGTGCTTCACCTGGGAGAGCAAGCCTTCATCCTCTTGTGTGCCCTAGTTAATGACAAAGCGCTTAGATGCCGAGACCATGCAGTGTTCTCTTGTTCTGTTAATATTTCTGCCAACCCTTCCTGCTGAAAATTTTTTATTGAAACTATTTTTGCCATCATATAAAAATGTATATAAAGGCTATATCCGATGTATGGCCAGGGGTATCTGACCCTGCACTGTAGCAGGTGCTAGTCTACGAATAGAACACAGCACTCAGCCTGCAGGGCCGCAGCTGTGTCCGATCCTGCACTGTAGCAGGTGCTAGACCCTGTAGACCCTGAGTAGAACAGTTGCCTCTCCCGCGGTCTGGTGTCCTCCTCCACTGCTCACTTTTACTGTGGCTTTATTGTGGGGACTCTGATGAGTGACCTCAGCCTTTTTGCTGTTGTTTTGCTATAAAGGAGAGAAGCAGGCACACTTAACTGTCAAGCCCATTGTTTAAGGGAACATATCAGCTCACACACAAGGAAAGCTATAAAAGGCATACTTGGATTTGGTAACATTTATGCTTTCTTTGCGATTCTGGAGGATTCTTAACCTTGACGAAGAGAAAAAAGCAAGTGTCGCATGACAAGCCATTCCAGGCTTAAATATGTGCCTAAAAAGAATTGACATTAAGGTCGTGTGTGTGTGTGTGTGCACGCGTATGCGCACTCATGCACATGTGTCTGTGGTAGTGAGTGTATGCAATGACACGTGTGCAAAGGGCAGAGAACAACTTGTGGGAGTTGGTCGTGGAAATGGAAGTCAGACTTGATGGCGGTCACTTTCACCCACTAGGCTGTCTCACCTGCCCTGAAAGCAGCCTTGCAGAGGCGTAATGCTTACAACAGCATTTTACACAAGCCACCCTTACAGCAGGAGCAACCCAGCTGTCCACTGGGACATGACTGACTAAACAAAAGGTGGTACAGACATACATAGTAGTAACTGGGAAACCATTTCTGGTACATGCTGAGACATGAATGAACATAGGAAAGGTTGTGCTAAGTGAAATGTCAGAGCCAGAGCCAGAGAGATGACTATTGCATGGTTCCACCTAAGTAAAGAATATAGACTACGGAGCATGTAGGTTTCCAGAGGCCTCGGGTTGTGTGAGGGGACACTGCTCAGTGGGTACAGGGTTATGTTTGGTATGATAGACATGTTTCAGGAATGGCTAGTAGTCATGCTTGCGCAGCTTTGTGCATTTTGTTTAAAGGCAGAGAATTATCAAATACTTACAGTAATTCAAATGGAACATTTTTACATTGCATTCTTCCACAATAACTAAAAGTTGCATTGGAAGGAGATTGGATTTGGGTCACAGAGCTGGGCCTGGGTCTGCCTGTTACTAAGTGTGTGTCTGACTTGGAGCAAAAGCTTTTATTTCCCTGAATATCCTTTTGCACACTGTGGGAGCAAATTTAAGTCCCAGCGAATTGTGTAGTTGACATGAGCATGGCAATGTCAAGGACTCCAGTGCCTGAGGCCCATGGGAATGGCAGAGCCTTCTGAACCAAGTGTGAATGGTTTAGCTAAAGCTAGTGTATGCAGAAACTATCAACCACAGCCTTCTCTTCTTGGATGGATCACTGCCTCCTGAGACAGCCCCTGTACAGAGACCTCCTGCCAAGTTTAGCTTAAGCAACCTCCTCATCCAGCTGTCTACAAGAAGCCTGCTTCCTCAATCAGTGATATAGTGAGTGCCCAGAGTTTCCCTGTTCCTGGTGGTGCATCCATCAGAGCAAAGGCCCACCCAATGCCAGCTATTTTGTACTATGTCGGTCCTTTTTTTTTTTTTTGGTTCCTCGCCACCCCAGTCAGAGCAAGTCCTAAGCCATGCAGGTTGTGGAATGTACCTATAAAAAAAACAAGAGCAGCCCTGCTCTTGGTGAAGGGTTGTTGTGGGAAGGTGACTAGATTGTCTCATAATTCGCACCGTGTAATTAAAGAAAAATACCAGTGCTTACAATGTCACAGTGTCATGTTGCATAGTTGTTTTTTGCCTCTGTGGTACTAAAGTTGTACACACACACACACACACACACACACACTTATGTGGGGGTTTTAGTGAATAAACACATGTTTCTGGAGATCAGACATCTTATAATACTAACCATTTGAAACAGAAATGTATTTGTAGAACCTTGCCAAAAGCTCTGAGTGTCCCAAGAGATCAGACATGTCTGCACCCAGACAGCCATGTAAAAATGGCAACATGGGAACAGCAAGGAAAGAGATTTGAAAGTGGCAGGAAGATGTGCACGCCCTTCATAAGTATTGCTTAAGGCCAGCATCCTTTGTGAGGCTCAATGTGACACAGAAGAAAGGTCAAGTGTCATTCTGTCTATGCAGAACACAGTGAAAATGATAAAACTGCAGGTAATTAATAATGGTGTAGGAGTCAGTCATCGGAAAATCACTTTAGGATGAGGTGTGTGTGCGCGTGCCCGTGTGTGCGTGTTTAAATATTCACTTTCTGTGGAGATGCAAGAGTAAATCCCATCACTTTTATCACCAAATTAGAATCTACCTGCTTTTCTCAGCCGCACATAGCCCAGGCATGCCTCCCAATAAGTGCTCAGCTGCTGAATGAACAATCAGATGAACTAAGGATCTAGGGAAAGCATGGAGCTATCTATCTACACATGTGTGCTGTGTGTCAACAAGACCTGTGTTAACTGTGTGCAAAAGATGCCGAGTTGAAAACGATCCCCGTTCTCTTTTGCAGACAGAAACTACACTCTTGGGACCACTGATAAGCAAGAGACACCAACACTGTGACATATGCCGGTGCCACCACCGCCACCACCACCTCCTCCGCCTCCACCTCCTCCGCCTCTGGGGGCCCCTCCTCCTCCACCCCCACCAGGACCCCCGGTAAGACCTGTTTGTTTTTCCCTCTGTTTCACTGTGGAGCATCTGCCTTTGAATGAGCAGGAGCTTGGTGTGGGGATGCAGGTGACGCAAGCTCCCAGGTGACAGATATACCTTAGGATTCTGGCTCTGACTGCTTTGGGGTCTAATCAGTCTGAACTAAACATTTCTCTCCCCTACTCCCCCACACTTCTCATTTTCACCTACTTCAGCCTCCATGATTTCCCCCTCAACCCCCACCATATGCTGCAGCCTTTCCCAGTCTCCCTAAGTGACTTTCCATCTCACTGGACACTGGTGGGAGGAGCCTGCTGAATTCAGGCCCATAAGACACTGAGAAGTCAAGTTGCATGTGGGTGTCATGCAGAAGGTGATGATAACACCCTGGCTTCAGTTCCCCAGTTCTAAGACCAGCAAGTTACATGTTGGGTTGAAAGCTACAGGGAAATGAAACTCAAAACAGAAGTTCCCTGTGTCTGAAGCAATGAATCGAGTCTATCATTTGATTTGTATTCTGGAACAGAAATTCAACCTCAGCACCAGTGACATTGGGGCAAACTAACTGAGTTAGGGAGTTGCCTGCAACACCACTCAAGTTTGGCAATAAAAATGTTGTTAGATACTGCCTGGTGGAGGGAAATGTAGACAGAATAGGAATGATTATTCAACTTTCATTGCTGAAACTTGACCCCACATGCTCAAATTCGAGGTTACATGGTGATGATGAACAGTTTGTAAGTAAAGAAAACAAGTAGAAAGCTATTTATTCGTGGATCCTAGATAAGAAATGATCCGCCTACAGTGAGAAAACATGATCTATATACTTGTTTGATATAGGAAGTTTTAGAATTGACCAGAGTGTTGGAATCGAGTCTTGAAACTTTTTTCCTGGTTTTTCAAGACAGGGTTTCTCTGTGTAACGCTTGCTCTATAGTCCAGGCTGGCCTTGAACTCACAGAGATCTGCCTGTCTCTGCCTCCCAAATGCTGGTAATAAAGGTATGTACCACCACAGCCCAGCTCAGGTCTTGGAACTCTTAATGAGTTCCAAATTATGATTTCTTAAGAGACAATTTTGTGGTATCGATCTAACAGTTTAAAAAAATGAATGCATTCTATGATCCAGTTTCATCCCAGACAATCTTTCTTTAAGAAATTAATCATGGGAGTTGTGTGGTATTGGTGCACGCCTTTAATCCCGGCACTCGGGAAGCAGAGGCAGGTGGCAGGTGGATCTCTGTGAGTTTGAGGCCAGCCTGGTCTACAGAGGTAGTTCCAGGACAGGCTCCAAAGCAATACAGAGAAACCCTGCCTCAAAAAACTAAAAAAAAAAAAAAAAAAAGGAAGAAATTAATCATGGGAGCTAGTGAGGACGGAGGACAACAAGGGAACAAGTCCCCCAGACACAACAGGACTGATGGACATTTGGGCCCACAGAGCCCGTGGCAGCATGTATAGATCTGTCACATGGGGTCCCAGCACCGAGAGGGGAAGAAGACACAGGCCTGCATTTCTAACCAGCTAGCTGTGTCCAACTGACAGAAGAAAACTTAGCTTTCTCCAATGGAGTCTCACTGGGTACACAAACCACACCCAGGGCAGGCCCTGTGCCCAGCAGTAGATGACAACATCACAAACGCAGTGGTGTATTGGGAATGCTTTTGTTGCACAGTTGTTTGTCCGGACATTTTTTTAAACCTTACAGCTCTTTTGCTCATGTATCATGGCTTCTAACTTAGTTTTTATAGGTTTTCTGTGTGTGCAAATGTGTATGTCTCAGCATTTGTATGTGTTTCTTGCATTTTTCTGTAGTGAGGTAGTCCTTCTGTAGCACTGACCACGCCCATTGGGGGGTGGAGCCATGGGCGGAAGTGACCTGTGGAAGGAGGTCGGAGGGGGCCAGGAAAGGCTCTCTCTTTCTGGCATGACTCGGACAGGAGAGGATCGGGTTGAATTTCCTGGTGTTCATCTGTCTAGGTTGTAAGTTATTTCTCCCTGAATAAACATCTTTTCGGCCTACTTGTTTATCCTGATCCTTATTTACCGCAATATTTTTCCTTTGGCTTTTTTTTTCCTGTTTTTTGTTTTTTCCTATTCTGCTTTTTTTAATTTTGTGATTATTATTTTTTAGATGTCTACTTTTATTCTAATGATCAAAAGAGAAAGGGTGTGGGTTTGGGTGGCTGGGAGAGTGGACAGGATCTGGAAGGAGTTGGAGGAGGGGCAAATATAATCAGAATATATTGTATGAAAAAAATCTATTTTCAATTAAAAATAAAATATATACTAAAATTGTGAAAATAATAAGCATTTCTGGTATTCTGAAAAAAGAATGCATAGCTACATGACATTAATAGATTACTTGTAATGGTAACCAACAAATAAATTAATATTATTTAACTATAGGAGAGTCAAAAATTGTTTTCCAGTTCACAGAACAGCATGCTAGATCTTCATTAAAAAAATCATACTCCAATTAGTATATAATTTCCAATGTACAATTGATTCAAGAAGATTATTCAAGGAAAGGTGCAGGCACCAAGTTCAGAGTTGTTGTGGGGACAGCAAGATGACCCAGGGGGTAAAGGCTTTTGTTGGGCAAGCCTCGGTGTGGTCCTTACAACCCACAAAAAGGCAGAATGAGAGGATCCCCAAAGCTGTTCTCTTATACACACACACACACACACACACACACCGATAGTGATAAATGATATTTTTACTTGATAGGGAAAAGGATGCTGTTGAGATTCTAAGAATCTCACAGAAATTCCATCTCTTTTCTTCCATGTTGGGGATCAACCCATGGCCCACTCACAGTGAACTGTGCCTGTGCTATGGAGCAGGACCCCGGCACAGCCCTCTCCTACCTACAGATTACACAGGAGACTATGGCTCTAAGATGCATCTCCGCTAGGATGACCTTCTATCACAAGCCACCTGCTGTCACACTTGGAGAAGTGCCGCCCTGAATTGCCTAAGCAAACACCTACACACATCTAGAGTATGGGAAGCGCTGCACACAGCTTGGCAAGCTGTGACCAAGGTGCTTTCCAGACAAACAGCCGGGGTGACGCACTGAAAGAAAAACATTTCATGATACATAGAATGACATGATATTCAGATTGTAGCCTATAAATAAAGTTCACTGGGGGCACAAACACACCCATTCATTTGCATGCCATCAATGGCTGTGTTTCCCCTATATCATCAGCATTGCAACCAAGGAAAATGTGATTTGACCAAACAAACAAACAAAAAAAACCTCCCTTCTCACTCGTGGACCTGTGTTTTAATAATTGAATTAATTCTTATTGCTATATTCTAATTTGTGCAATAAATATTTAATGGAAGTCATTTCTCTTTTGCTACAGACAGCCATATAGACTAACTTTCATTTGGCCCCTTGGCCTACAAGCCCTGGAATGTTTACTGTCTGGCCCCTCCCAGGGACAAGTCACCAATCCCTGCTCTATAGCCAGCTGGCCTTGTTCGGCCCATGTCTCTACAGCCAGCAGTGAAGTCAGGGTACTTACACCATGTGTTGTCTTCCTCCTCCGCTTTTACTCTCAGGGGCATCCTGGGGTCTGCCTCCCTCTCCAGCTCCCCCTCTCCCAGGGTACTCCCCGCATTCATATAGCTGTTCCTTCTGTCTGGTAGGAACGTTCTAGTAAAATCAGAGGAGAGGGCCAATCCACTGACCCCACGGGCTTCAGTACTTACTTTCAAAGCCTTCCTTTGGAGCAGTAACTGTTTTTAACTATGTTTTTATTGTGTTAGTGTGTTAGTGTTTGCATTTATTTAATCCTATATGTGTGTGTGTGTGTGTGTGTGTGTGTGTGTGTGTGTCTGGCTTGAAATAGGCATTCAGTTTAAGAAGGGAGAAAAGGGAGAAAGGCAGAAAGAGATGGAGGTGAAGATAAGAGGAGAGAAGAAAGGAAGGAGAGTAGGAGGAAGAAGAATGAATGAACCAGACAGGAGGCTTCTCTCCTACCCACCGGTTCCTGAATTATCACTCAAAGGCTTATGTTAATTACAAACTGGCCTATTAGCTCAGGCTTATTATTAACTAGCTCTTACAACTTAAAATAACCCATATCTACTATTCTGTATTTTACCATGAGGCTTGTTACCTCACATCTTGCATCTCCAGCAACTGCTGGCATCTCTCGGACCCTGCCTCCTTTTTCCTGTATTAAGTTTGGCTTTCCCGCATAAGGATATTCTGCCCTGCCATAGGCCAAAACAGCTTCTTTATTAAACAATGGCAATAAAACATATTCACAGCATGAAGAGGGCCATGCCACATCAAGAAATTAAGGAGTATCTGAATAAACATAATTGAGAGGCAGAGCTAAAGTTTTCATAACTAGTGGTCAGGGCTTTAAGCACTTGTTAAAGTCCAATAAACAAGACATTACTCAAGACCCCAGGAACCGTGGGAAGTGAGACTAAACTCAACCCCGAACACAGCCTGGGCAATGGGAGTGTGTAGTTAAGAACCTGAAAAGATGGGCAGTGGATGAAGAATTACTGAGAGGAAACATGGAGGTTGGTGGGTCGAAGAGACTCTGGATAAACCTATCTACTGTTGCTTGTTTATGTTTGTCATGGTATCTGGGAACCTTATGTGCACTTGGCAAACACATTACTAGTTAGCAGCATCTCCAGCTGAGCGAACACAATAGGCATGGTAGAGTTTATAACCCTGATGAGAACCAGGACAATCAGATAGCTAGAGTAAGGGTCCTTGGTAAACATATTTAACAAGGTTCTTTTTACAAAACTGGATTATTTTACACGTGCACAGAAGGGCCTAGAAGTTCCTGATGCCTGACCAAGTTTTGATTGGTTGTGAAGATTTTCCCCTCTCTCCTTTCACCACCCCCCCCAACTCCAGACACCCGCATCTCTGACATGGCAGAAGATGGAGAGGGCTGCAGGAGTTTGGGGATTCTGCCCTCATGTCTCCTCCCTTTTCTGGAAACCCCATACCCTGCCCCACGC